TGGTGCTGTTTTTCAGTCGGGGGGGGGGGGGGGGGGGGCAACTTGTAGTCCTTCCCCTTAAAGGAGAACTATGGGGTCAGGGCTTTTCCCCATAGTTCTCCTAAGGGTAACGGGAGGACACAAACTAGCGTCCTCCCGTTACCCTAAGCTCAGTATACAGGGAGCTGTAGCTCACTATAGACTGAGACGCCGCAGCTGAAACGGATCCCGACAATTATGTCTGGATCCGCCCAGCTGCGTGAGTGACAGCTGGCTCTGCCTATCTAGAGGCAGAGCCAGCTGTACCCGCCCCGTCCGTTCCGCTGGTCAGCGCTGGAGGATCGGAGTTGGGAGGGGGGGAATCCCTGCAGGGAGCCGTGACTGAGAGTCACGGCTCCCTGCAGGTACAGGATCGAGAAGGGAGCGAACCCGGTATGTGTTCTTTCACCTCCCGATCTACTGAGCCGACCTGTGATAGTCTCTTTGTCACAGGTCGGCTAGAACTATGAGGATGAGTGAAAATCACTGGCCTCATAGTTCTCCTATAAGGTTTTGTCAGGAGATTCACTTCAATCAGAAGACTCTGCTGGGAGTTGTAGTACCTGCAGCCGGGCCACGCATCGGCCGCACCCAGCACTCTTCGCCTTGCGAAAAGCCGGATAACCTGCAGCTAGAGAAAGACTCGGCAGACCGCCCTTGTCGATCGACAAGAAAAAGAGGCCGCTGAGACTTGTTTATCCGGCGCTGAACTCTCCTTGTAATAATAACGCAGTGTCTAGCGCTCCCCTGAGCCCCTCCGCTTCCTGCGCTGCGGCTGTAATGAAAACAGAGGATGTGGCAGAGGAGAGAACCGCGCCGAGGCTGCTCTGTTATTGAAGCCGCGGACACAAACTCTTAATAAAATGTTTTGTTTTATTTCTTCCCTCTTCGGGGAAGGTCCTGAGAACGCAATCGATGCGCGCCTGTGAAATATTGCTCTTGGACGCGGGATGTTTGGATTCCCATCTCTTCGCATCCTCGGGGGTTCTTTAAACGCTCGCCGGCTCACGGGCGCGGTGGGAATATCACCAAGCTGGGGGTTTTTTCGGCTATAAATGCGCGCTGCCAGGACGTAATTATATGCTGAGTTTTTATGCTGTATAAAAGGAGCATAAAAAAAATTAATAAAAAAGATTTGTATTTTGTGGGCTAGAAACGAGGAATTAAAGGAGAACTATGGGGTCAGGGCTTTTCCCCATAGTTCTCCTTAGGGTAACGGGAGGACACAAACCAGCGTCCTCCCCTCACCCTAGGCTCAGTATACCGAGACGCCGCAGCTGAAGCGGATCCCGACTGTTATGCCGGGATCCGCCCAGCTGCGTGACTGACAGCTGGCTCTGCCTATCTAGAGGCAGAGCCAGCTGTACCCGCCCCCTCCCTGTCCGTTCCGCCAGTCAGCGCTGGAGGATCGGAGCAGGGAGGGGGGAATCCAGCCCCTCCCCTGTTGAGAGGTGAAAGAACGCCGGTATGTGTTCGCTCACCTCGCGATCTACTGACCCGACCTGTGACAGTCTCATTGTCTCAGGTCGGCTAGAACTATGAGGTGAGTGAAAAGCACCCCTCCCCCCTCATAGTTCTCCTTTAAAGGAAGGCTTCAGTCTTGTTTATAATGTGAGATATTGTATTTAAGGTAAAACTATCATCTGAAACTCAATTCCCCGTGGGCGAGACGGATACATCGCCAGGATTTCAGACAAACATTACGGCTCGCCTTGTTCTAGGGGGCGGCATGTTGACAA